TCATTAAGAATTACAAAACACAAATTATGCATAAAGCTAATTCCAAAAACATAAACATAAGCCACAAGATGAATTTCGAAGACATCAATTTGGAGAATAAAAGAAAGGAAGAATGTCCTTCTGCTATCTGCAGGCTTTATATGCATATTATTACACGATTACAAGGATTAGCACCTTTGTTAGCTCATGCTAATAAAGCACTCTCTGTTAGCGCACATTGGTAAAGCGTTTTTTAGCATACATTACTGTAAGGCTCTTAGAGTACATTGCTAAACAATGAGCACATATACAATTCTATGCAATGATAGCACCATACTCATACAGAATAGACTTTGGATGATTTGGATGATTAAGATTAAAATCTTAATCATGATCCAACATGGAGGATGCAAATTAGTACACCACTACACATTCATTTATGATTCCTTATATTTTTTCATTATCACGGAACTTCTTCATGTCTATTCGTGACATCAACCTCATGTCTTGGAGCATATGTGTCTTTGGGATAGAAATCAGTTTGGAAATGACGGACTTCGATACCATAAAAGGATGATCTATTATTCGAAGATTTTTATTTTCTAGCAAATAGAGCTGCTATTACTTCCTGGGGTCAAAATTCGTAAATAGCTATCTTGCTGCGTGCGCTACCTTCGTCCAAAATCCGTAAACAAATTCGTTACATTCGTTCACAGTCTCTAAACTGGTGCTTCCTGTTTATTTTCTGTTTAATGCTCATTGATACATTTTGAAAAATTCACAAAAATTTAAGTGTAAAACATCTGTTCACCCTTTTGTTGAATCCATAGAATTGAGTAATTTTCAAATTATGAAGAGTATAAGCATTAGAAGATACCTTCGAATTCTTACTACTTTGACACTTTGTTATTTCTAAATTTGAGTGAATCAAAGTTCATACGACATTTATTATTGTGCTTAACAAATAATTGCAAAATGTCTCCTTAGTTTGATCTGTACCATTTCAAGATACACAGACAAATTCGATAGCTATTAGGTGGACATGGGAGTACAAATAATTTGAAAGTTTTGCTGTTTGATTTCCTGAAAATTTCGCAAGGAATCACGTATTCAATTGAACTTTATTTGCAGGTGCAGGTTGCAGATGCAGGCTTTATTTGCAAGTTGCTCAAAAAAAGTTCACATAATAATTTCACCATCCAGGAGTGATAACAACAGCAATAATATACATCAAATTAATTGCCAAGAAATAATTGATATGATAAAACAACTAGAAGTACATTACATCAGAGTTATCCAACTTTATGTCAATGTTAATTTAAAATGATAAACTTGTTGAATAATTACTGCAATAGTGTAACTATTAATTAATGTATTTCTGATTCAACCAAAAATTTCAGGATTTAATCACGACGTGGTTCCTGGATATTTCCTTCATGTGGCCTCTCCTGAAATGGTCGCCGTAATGTCCTCCGTAATGATAGTTGTATCTCCTCCTGCAACTGAAACCATGCTTCCCATGACCCCTCCTGTGATTCCTGTGATCTCTCCTGTAATAATTGTTGTGGTCTCTCCTGTAATGATTGTTGTGGCCTCTCTTGTAATGATTGTTGTAGTCTCTCCTGAAATAGTTGCCGTGACCTTTCCTGCAATGATTGCTGTGATCCCTCCTGTAGTGATTGTTGTGGCCTTTCCTGTAATGACTGTTGTAGCCTCTCCTGAAATAGTTGCCGTGACCTCTCCTCCAATGATTGCTGTGGCCCTTCCTGTAATGAATACAGTGGCCTTTCCTGCAATGGTTGCCGTGACCTCTCTTGTAATGATTGTTGTGACCCCTCCTGTGATGATTGTTGTGACCTCTCCTGCAATGATTGCTGTGGCCCTTCCTGTAATGATTGCAGTGGCCTCTCCTGAAATGGTTGCC